GATGAGCTGCTCCTGGGATGGGGTCCTGCTCATGGTGGCGGGGTCCAGCCGGCGGCGAGGGGAGGGCTCCCGGGACATGGGGTGCGCGTGGCCTGTCTCCCGGCTCCTCCTGATCACGGAGCGGATCTGAGGGGGGAGGGGAAGCTGTCACAGCCCCACTCTGGGCTCTGCCAACGCTGCTCAGTCCACACTCAGGTGCCCGGGCAAGGGAGGGCTCAACAAAACGGCCAAAGAGCTGAGGCGGGGCGGAGGCAGGTTTCAGCTCTGACCTTGGGCAAGACACTTCACTTCCAGGGGCCTCGGCTCCTCCATCCTTGAAATGGGTTCGTACTTTCCTGGCTGCCTTAGAGGGTTATTATTACTATGAGGATTATTTATTTGAGAGCATGTAAGTGAGGACTCTTAAAAAGACATAAGGCTTTTTCTTTCTTTTTTTAAATTTGTAATAAAAAATGTGGTCATTCCTTCCAAATTTTCTAACCAAATTTTTTTCTTGTTTATATTATAACCTACTGGTTTGTAGTGGTTTTGGTTTTTTGTTTTGTTTTGTTTTGTTTCTATAAAGCAAGAAGCAAGAAACAGCAGCCATGCTCACTGAGGGCACGTGCTGCCCTGAGCGCCTCCAGGCGTGAGTTCATGGAATCCTCTGGACGACCTTGCGGGGAAAGGTCTACCTTTACCCCCATTTCAAAGATGAGAAACTGAGGCTGGCGGGAGGCTGCCCAAGGTCACATAGGTAGCGAGTGTTGGAGGCAGGGTTTGTATTCAGTTCTATCTGGTCCCAAAGCTCATGCTTTCAACCATTTCGCAACATCCGATGTCACCTCCGGATGTCAGGGGAGCTCATCGAAAGGAAAAGGCCTTAAACAAGCAAGAAGCGGGTTGTCACTCAAAGTGATTCCCAGGCCGGGAGCTGCACTGGCCCCACAAAGCCCAGGAGAGAGCTGGTCGTCGGGTCACAGGCCACGCTAGCTCAGGACTCGCAGCCCAAGCAGACATGCGCGGTGGGAGGCGGCATGCATTTAGCCAGAGCAGCCCACTCAGGCCGCGAGGACCAGGCCCAGCCGCCGTGCAAGCTCGCGCCTGCCTGGCCAGAGGTGGAAATCCTCTCGGTGGTGGGCGTGTCCGTGACCATGGCCTGTGGAAGCTCCGGCTGTGCCCTCTCGGCCTCGGCAGCAGCTTCCGTGGTGCCTGCTGGCCTCCGGGCTGTCTCGGGTCCCTGGGTTGGCCGGATCGGGCTTCGCCGTACGGGCATCTCTCCACCCAACTGCTCCTGGTTCACAGGAGCCGGGCGGCTGCCCTCTGGCCCCGCGAGCTCTGGCCTGGTCCCCTCCTGCAGCTGTCCACGTTCCTTCGTGGGACTCCAGGTATCTGGGAAGATGACCTGACGGTCTATGGCCACGATAGCTGGCTCCGTTACTTCCTGGAAGCTGGGCGTAGCTCTGTGGGGAGTCTCTGGCCTGAGCGCCTCCAAAGCCCACGGCTGCTCCCACGTGGCAGCCAAGGCCTCCTCTGGGTACGCAGGGCTGGCTGACAGCCCTTGGGGGTCTCCAGGCTCCTGGGGACCTGCACACCCAGCTTGGGGTTGAGTGTGGCCTGGGGGAGCCCTGGAGAGCTCACTCTTGAGGTTTAGTGCGTCCCTCCAGCCTCGAGCCTGGCTCTCTGCACCAAATGGCCCCAGAGAGCCCTCCGCAGAGGGAGACCTTGAGTTGGGGGTGTCAGGTGTCACCCCGAGGCCAGCCAAATCAAGCCAGCTGGGGGCCACAGGAGGTAAGAGGCCCTGCCCTTCCTCATCATCCTCACGGCAGAGAGCCTCTGTGGTGAGACCGTGGCCTCCAGAGGAGGGTTTAATAGTGGGTGGCAAGAGTATAGAGGGCCCGGGAGGAGGAAGAGGAGGAGGACCGCAGAGGGAGACCTTGAGTTGGGGGTGTCAGGTGTCACCCCGAGGCCAGCCAAATCAAGCCAGCTGGGGGCCACAGGAGGTAAGAGGCCCTGCCCTTCCTCATCATCCTCACGGCAGAGAGCCTCTGTGGTGAGACCGTGGCCTCCAGAGGAGGGTTTAATAGTGGGTGGCAAGAGTATAGAGGGCCCGGGAGGAGGAAGAGGAGGAGGAGGAGGAGAAGGAGGAGAAGGACGTATGTGGTGTGAGGATGGAGCTGAGCTGGGCGGCAGCCCCAGGGAGTTCAAGGCCACAGCAGAGGAGCTGGTCTGGAGGAGGAGAAAGACAAAAGGCAGAGGGAAGAAGAGAGAAACAGGAGAGGTGAGGAAGGACGCTCCCTGCAAGGGGTGGGCTCGACCTCAGCTCTGAGAGCCACCGTCTATACTGGCGGGGTGGCCGCAGAGCTGACGTATGAGGACTGGGCCTCTCAGGAGACCCTGACACCCAACACAGTGTTCCTGGGCAACGTGTCCTTGGCCCCATCAAACCCAGGCAGCAGGGCACGCCTCTGAGCAAGGCCTGGGAGCCACCCCAATCAGAGTAGGCACGAGGGAGAGAAGGCTCAGTGCGGTGGCCGTTGGAGAGAGTGACCAGGGAGGTCAGTCCAGGCACCATCAAGGGACAGTCAGCCACAGGCAGCTGCTCTGGTGCCTCCAAACCAGAGACCAACCAGATTCTCGGCTTGGTTTCTCCCAGACAAACCCATCTTCCCTACATCCCCGAGACCTTGCTCTAGGCGCGCAACTAGAACCAGCTCAGCTTCCCACGGGCACCACAATGCTGGCTCTCAGAAAGCCACATTCGAAAGGGCGCTGGAGCAGGGCTTCCTCAGGCCAATGCCTGGTCCAGCAGACTTTCGCCTGGCTTTGGCTGCTGAGAACGGCCAGTAGCACGCCCCCCGCTCAAGCCCCACTCGCATCTCCCACCAAAAACCCCAGCTGAAGGGAGGTTTGGAGGCACCATCAGGGCCAAGAGCGCATGGACCACTTGCCCCCCTTCTCAGATTCCCCAAGTCATACGCCAAAGTTCGACCCGAATGGAAACGTGTTCTCAGCAATTGCAGGAGAGTTCGGCCAATATCAGCCCCCACAGAGGCACCGCATCTTCCGATAAAACACCTGGCCTGGCAGGCGGGGGGCGCTCGGAGGGAGGAAGGGCGGCGTGTGGACGGGCCCAGTTGCCCGACATTAGGTTTCCCACAGACAGAACTTGAGGGATTCAGAGGCCCGTGGAGAAAGGGGGGCAGGACTGGAGGCTGGCAAAGGAGGCCTTGGGTTCAGAAGCCAGAGGCAGGAAGAAAGAGGACGTGCTGAGGACGCCAGCGTGGGAGATGAGCTCCAGGGCAATGACCGCTCAGGCACAAGCTCGCGAGGGCCCCGTGGCCAGCGGAGAATGCCCTCCCCCACCAAGAGCAGCATCGACACAGGGCCCTTTGTTTTACCTCCTCGTCCCGGGAGGAAGGAATGTCTCGGCCTTCACAGGCTGCGAGGCAGCTCAGTGCCCACCGCCTGGCTGCCCTCCCTCCCCCACATCCTGGCCAGGCCAGGGCACTGTGGGGCCCCTGGCTCAGGGCAAGGCACCCAAACGGAGGGGCCGAGTTCCAGCTACTCACACTGAGGTATGGAAAGAGAAGGATGGGAGACACGGGCAGGGAAGAAGGGGCTTCGGGCACCTTAAAATCCGACAGGGAGGCCATCAGCTCGTCCAGCTCCCTGGTGGCAGAGGAGGCCGAGATCCGTGTCTGCTGCTGGCTGGAGGTGACGCGCTGGGGGCTGCTCATCTCGCCATGGCTCACAGTGATGGCAGGGCTGCAGGCAGGCTCGAGTCAGAGGGAGCCCCAAGTCCAGCCCCAGGCTGCCCCCGCGCGGCCCTCCTCAGGAGATCAACATGTCAGCTCTGACATTGGGGTCCCACCCCCCCAACCCCAGGAAAGCCCACTAGCTCCCGATCTCTTCTGGGGGAGGAGGCTGCTGTCAGCCAGGGCCGTGGTCGGCAAACCGCTGCTCGCGAGCCACATGCAGCTCTCTGGCCCCTTGAGTGTGGCTCTTCCACAAAATACCACGTGCGGGCGCGCACGTACAGTGCGATTCAAACTTTGTGGTCCATGCGCAGAAGTCGGTATTTTGTGGAAGAGCCACACTCAAGGGGCCAAAGAGCCGCATGTGGCTCATGAGCCGTGGTTTGCTGACCACTGGGCCAGGGGGACAGAGCTGAGGTGCGCTGATGACATGGGAGAAGGGAGGGCCGCTCAACAGCAACTTTCCCAGGAAGACGCCTCTAGTCCTCCAGCCCAAGTTCAAGCTCCTTCCCCCAAGCCCGTGACATCAGCCCGAGCCGTGTAGTCTCCACAGCACTGCATGTACATGTGCGAGAAGAGCTAACACTTAGAAAGCACTCACCATGTACATCACCTGCTATGAGCCAGAAACCACTCCACGTGCTTTACATGTATGATTGGGTCGACCCCATGGAGGCAGGCGGCCCTATCCCCATTCTCCACACCCCCTAATCCCATTTTACAGATGGAAACACAAAGGCTTGAGATACTTCGTAAGGGCAGAGCCAAGGTCTAAACCCCATTATGTGGCTCCAAAACCTGTGCTGACGGCCACTAAGCTACAGGGGCCCTCAGCATGCGTGATGTCCATTTTTTCCGATGGATGGTGGCTCGAGGAAGGCAGGAATGGTGTCCGTGTGACTCGTCACTATCCCCCCAGAGCCTGGTGCAGGGCCTGGCAAACCACAGGCTCTCATGGAGGGAACAGGAGACATGGGGCTACGTGGGCAGGCATGGAGCACGGGCACTGATGAGCAAGCCTCCCTGGCGAGCCCGGGGCACTCACACGGGGCTGGGCACGGAGCTCTCCAGCTCGTCCAGGAGACTCTCCACGCTGGGCCGCACGTCCTCCAGGCCCCGGGCCCCGTTCCGCTTGGGCTTCTCTTTCATCAGGGGCCCGGCGCTGCCCGCCAGCAGGCTGTTATTCTCCGGGGTGCCATAGTGAGGGCTCAGAGCCCGAGGCAGCGGGGGGCTCGAGTTGGCCTCATCTTGGGAGAGGGAGAGAGAAAGACTGCTCAGCCCTGAGCCCTCTCGGGATGAGGCAGGCCTGCCCAGGGGCCCAGCCCCACCTGCGGGGAAGCCCGAGGGGCCGTGCTGCACAGCGTTCAGCTCCAGCAGCAGGCGGTCCAGTTCCGAAAGGTTGCTGCCCAGAGAGGAGCTCATCACGGTGGGTGAAGGCTCAGCCGACTTCTGCTTGTTGGGGAAGCTTTGAGAGACAAAGGGAAGATCACACTGAGAGACACTCCCAGCTTTGGCCACCCCCGATTCTCCCGGAGAATAGGCAGCGGGGGACGAGGTCTCCCACAGCAGAGGACTGAGAGGGGGGAGGGGTGTGGTAAGAAGAGGAGAGGGAGGAAGGCCTGCCTCTCCGCTCCTCAGTGACACGGGTGACGTGACGTGGCCGCGGGCTTAGCATGGAGAATGGAGATGGCCCTGATCAGGCCACCAGGCCATCAGGAGGCACCATGAGCTGGCTGGGGGCCTCGGGCCTTCTGTGACTTGGCCCAATGACCCAAGGCAGAACCCTCACGGGCCCTGGCCAGGCCTCATCCCTGGCCTCGGCTGCCTCCGGGCCTGGCCGGTCCCAGGATTCCCAAGCAGGAGCGGAGGTGAGCAGCAGGGCTGGGCCGTACCTGTAGACGTGCTCTTCCTCACCGGCCCGAGCGCACGGAGGTCCCAGGCCGTCCTGGGGGGTGGAGGCGCTGCACGGTTTGGCACTGGAGCCGTAGGCGGGCGGCAGGGGCTGGGGCTGCGGGAAGGAGAATGCTCAGAGCCTCCCGGGAGGAAAAGGAACAGTCCGAGTCACCCCCAGGAGGCTGCTGCTCACAGCCCGTCTCACCAGGGAATTTCCACGCTCCGGCTGGAGACAGGTGAGTAACACTGGGTCACCGCCCCCTCACGTGGCGTCTGGTGGGGAGAGCCCCTCTCCCCTTCCCGGGAGCCCATTCCTCCCTTGGCTCCCAGGCCGCTGCCAGACACGCTCCTTTAGCCCCAAAGCCTCACCTGCTGGTGGATGAATCGGGGGGCGCTGGTCTGCCACTGGTCTAAGGGGTCAAGGAGCGCGCCATTGAGGGCCTCGCTGGACGGGGGTGGAGGGACCGGGGGCGGCACCGCAATCTCCTGGTACGTGTGGTTTCCAGTTGGGTAGGAGTAGGGAGTCTCCTCCGACAAGAACACGGGCCGTTTGGAGATGTGGGAGGTGGTGGACTCCAAGTCCTCCAGCAGGGCGTCTGCGGAGAAGGCGGGGAGAGGGTGAGAAGCCGGGGCCCTGGGAACTCCCCACAGGCAGTGACCGCCCTGCCTGTTCCAGGAGTTAATGATCTGAGCACCTGCCCCGCCTCAGGTCAGCCAGCCTGCCTAGGAACCAGCTCCCAAAGCTGACCTCCTCGGCCCAGCCCCAGACTGGGGGTGCTGGGGAGGCTCCCGGGGCTGCCCCTGCAGCTCTCCTACCTCTGGGTCGGCACCTTTGTTCCCTCGGGACAGGCTGTGCAGCTGGCTGGCTGGGAGTCAGCAATGCCGCCTAGAACTCGGTGCTCTGACTCCGCAGGGCCAGGCGGAGAGAACGGTGGGCGGGGCCCACGTCACGGGGAGGGGCCGACAGGGCCAGGTCCCACTTACTTTCCAAGAGCTAAGCGTTCTCTGCCCCCACATTGGAGGGACCCCCAGGTGAAACCTGTCTTTCTGAAGCAGAACCCCAGGCTCGGAGAGCTCCTCTCAGGCTATGGGGCGAGGTGTGTGGGGAGGTGGGGGCTGGGACTAGGCTGGTGCAGTGTTCCCTACCTCCTGGGCCAAGCCTGGGGGCGGGGGTGGAGCGGAGGGGATGGCAGGCCTACTCCATAGGCTGTTTCTGCAGAAGCCTGGCAAGCAGCCTGGCCCCACAGGCTCCAGGGCCCCACTATTCTGCTTTTACCAGCAGCAAGGGAGCCGAATGGGCCCTCGAGTGCAAGCTTCCATTACTCGGCACCAGGCCGACAACAGAGGGCCCTGGATCGCTGTCTCCAGACAAGAGGAGGACAGCAGGCAGGTCGGAGTAGGAACTGCTGATCTCCCCCCTCGTCTCTCCCCTCCTGGACCGTCACCAGCCCCACAACCCAGAGAGCCCGGCCCCACACGCCACACCCTCATTCCTGCCAGGCTCAGGGACTTGCTCACTCTCACCTCTCCTGCGACCGGCCTGCTCGGGACACAGTCCCCGGCCCTTGGGACAAACTCCTGAGAAAGCAGTGGCTGCACTACTGGCATTTCCTAGTGGCAGGCGCAGTGTGGGACTGCGCACTCCTGGTCTCAGTTAACCCTCCTATCACCCCACGAAGTGGGATTCTGATGCTTCCTTTACAGACGGGAAACCAGCTTTGGGAGGTGGTGGGACTCGTCCCCGATCACCAAGCCAGTAAGTGACAGGCGGTCTGACTCCTCAGAAGCCCCAAAACCTGGCCTGCAAGAGGCGCTGTGATCACTAGCTGATGCCATATTTAAACGGTACCGCTTCCTGAAGGACGGGCCCAGCTCTCAGGGCTGCCAGGCGGATCCCTCCTTGTGGCCCTGTCCTCAACCCCACCCCGGCTCAGAGAAAGAGAGAGGGAAGCAATGCCCTCCAGGCCGGGCCGGCTCTGTAGGCCCACACCTCCTCCCGCTGCCTGCCGGGTCTCCTTCCCCCAAGGCCAGCCACACCTACCCTGGCTCCTACCCAGTGGTTCAGAGGGAATCCCAGGCCCCGCAGCCCAGGACAGGTCCCCTGACTTCCGAGGAAGGTCAGCTCCTGCACTCCTCCCACTCCAGGTCCTTTGGAAGGATCTGGCTTCCTGTTTCTAGCAAACCGGAACTAGAACAAGTCAGTGTGTGTCTAGGTAACAGCAGAAAAGGAACCGCGTCCAGGCCAATCCCAGTGGCCGCTCCGCGGCCCCACCTGCTGCGCCGGCTTCATGCAGAGTCCCCACTTCCTCTGGGCCCAATCCAGCAAGGGTGGGGTTTCTCCTTCATCATGGAGAAAGCCCAGAGGGCTCCCCGGAGCAGGCAACAAGTGAAACCCCGAGGTAACAGGAGCAGCTGCTGTGCTTGAACACCCACCACGTGCCAGGAGCTTCAGCTGCGTCACCTCCACACAATGACACTAGTTCAGGTGGTAAACTGAGGCAGAGGCACAACCTCACACGGCCAAAGCCAGCTGAAGGGGCCCAGCTGGGATATGAACTTGGGTTTCTTGGGCCCCAAACACTCAATAGAAGACAGACGGTTAACCTTCCCTGTCAAACCACTGCCCTCTGCATCAAACACCCCTCCTTGTCACTCATGATCTGACTCTAAGTCTGGCTTACTGGTTTATGGACTGGATTCTGGTTTACGATGTCAATGGGCTCTTTCAACAGATACATCAGTTGGCCGGAAGGTGCAGTCCCGGAGTACAGAGACAAAAGATCTTAGGCTCTGGAGTCGAGCCAGAGCAGAGTTCAAGCCCCAGCTGCCCTCTCCATTGTCCATGGCCACACAGCAAAACCACTTAGCTTCCCTGAGCCCCAGTTTCCTCAGCCAGCTGGGGGGTGTACACGGGGTAGATAGATGCCATCGTACACATGGGCAGCTGCAAACATCAGATCTTAGCTGCTTTGTGAAATTCAGAAAAAGATCTTCCTCGAAGGCGCTCAGGGTGTGATGCTAAGTGCTGACCTCTCCTAAGTCTTCCATGGGCAGAATCTGGGCAAGACATGAAAGGAAGCTAAGGTAGTAAAGTAACATTCCAAGTGAAACACTGGATGTCAGGGAGAAAGAACAGACATCGTTTTCCAAACTCCTGATGAGGGAACCCCGGCGAGGACAGACAGTCACAGGGTCTGTGGTGCACTTCCCCCTCTCCACCCTCCGTCTCTGTTCAGGGACTAGACGGGGCTTGGTGTCGCCCCCCCCAAACCTCCACAAACACCTCAGGGAAGAGCCAGGACTCTGAGCAGCCCTGGAGGACACACTGGCCCCTGCGGTGGGTTCCTATGGGCACAGTGGTTACAGGCCAAAGTTCCCTTGCAAGTTCAGCAGACTCCTCCCTGCTGGAGTAAACAGTGGCCCAGCGAGGACTGCACAGAGGCGTTCACCTGCAGGCAGTGCCCACAGGGAAGGGTCCCCAGTTTGCAGCTACATCTACCGCCTGGCACCCAGCTCTACGCATGGAATTCAAAGGGAGCCCGAGTTCTGTTGATGTTTGATGCCTGAAATTCCAGAGCAGAGCTCCCTCTGTCCCAGATGCACCCTGTTCCAGGCAGCACCTCCCCCCCACCACCCCCCCCCCCGCCCCCCCGGGGGGGGGGGGGGGGGGGAGGCTCAGAGATCCCTCCTACTCACACCCCAAAGAAGGTGCCAGAGAAAATGGGGCTGACCGGGCAAAGAAGCAGGAACGGAAGCAGTCAGGGCGCGCTCGTGCAGGATCAGGCAGGCCTCCGACTTCCTCTCCCCAGGCCTGAGACCCTCCCAACAAGGCAGCCCCGGGTCATGGGCTTCCCAGCCCCTTTCGGGGGAACCACCCTAGATCCTGAGCGCTTCTCGCCTCTCGAGCCCAGCTGAGCTCCAACGCGTGTGTGGAGGGAGAGGTTCTCTCCAAACCAGGGGCCCCGAGGGGAGGGCGCGGAGTGCCAAGTCTCCAGCCCAGCGAAGGCCACTCGGCTAAGCTCTGGCGACGAAGGGTGCAGACCTTCGCCACTCCCCGCCAGAGGGCGCTACCGGCCCACCGGCTCCCCGCTGCCGGGAGTCACCACCGGTAACCTCGCGCGATCAGGGATTCGGGCCGGGAAGGCCCGGGAGCCCCGCCGCGGATGCACAAGGTAGATTTCAACGCCGGGAAGCCGGGCTGAGGTGGAGGAACAGGGTGCCCAGCGTCGGCCGGGCCTGGGGCGCACTGCCATTTGCAGGTGCGACCCCAGAGTGACCACTCCCGGGTGCC